ATCGCTCCGGCGATCCCTGTCCAAATTGTAAAGCCTCTTCGATCTCCTAGACACCAGCTGAGAAACCCTTGCTTTGTCTTTCGGCTATCTTCAGCTTGGGGTGAGCTGGACGTTTGCTGGAGAAACCCTAAACCCTAAAAAACAAAACACTAAGCCCTTGTTAAAGGCGTTGGAAGCCCAGGCCTCAGCAGCTGAAAACCTCAAACCCAACTCCTAAACCCCGAACCTGAGACGCTAAACCTAAACCCTTTAGGGTTTAGGGTTTTGGGATACCTGGTCCCTATAAAAACCTACCTTTTTGGGGTTCCCTGTGATGGTGTCCCTATATATGTCCTTAAAAGGTAGGTTACGGTCAAACCTTGACCTGTAACCCCTAACCCCCTAAATCCTTAGCCCGACCTCTCCTCAGATAGCGCAGACCGCTGAATTGCAGAAGATACCCTACCCCAAGTGTCCATGCATTTACATAGTATATACCCAATACCTTTTTGGGGATTCAGTCAAAGCCAAAGTATACCAGACTCTTTGGGGAGCCTTCAGGTTAAGAGACAATGTCCAACCCAAGATACCTTGAGGTGTATTCCTTATTTCATTCTGCCCGAAACCCTCAACCCTACTGAACCTGTGTGGTTTCAGCCAACATGTCCTTACGTAAACCCCCAAAAGTAGGTAAAATTATGGCCCAAAACGTGTAAAAAGGCTAGTGTTCTACATACTTTTGGGGTCCAGGTACTGGGATTTCTGGATGGCTGAAGGGATACTCCATCATTCAAGGGACCTGAGGCTCCCTCCGTACCCGAAACCCTAAACCCCTACACCCCCCAACCCCTGAACCCCAAAATCCAAGACCCTGAAACCTAAACCCTAAACCCTAAACCCTAAACCCCAAACCCCGAAACCTAACCCTCAAACCCCTAGACCCCTAAACCCCCCTAACCCCTCGACGCTTAGACTCTAAACCGACTGGAGCCCAGGGCGGAAGTCAACGAGGTTTTCCTGTACCACGGAACGAGCGCGTCGGCAGCAGAGGCGATCAAGACGCACGACTTCAGGACTTCAGGGTGTGGTTGGGGTTTAGGGTTTAGGGTTTAGGGTTTAGGGTTTAGGGTTTAGGGTTTAGGGTTTAGGGTTTAGGGTTTAGGGGTGTGGTTGGGGGGTTAGGGTTTAGGGTTCAGGACGTGATGTGCAGGGCGCTCGGATTGATCTTGAAGTGTAGTTGAGGGGTCAGATTCCAACCTCATCAGGTAACTTGGCACGACATGGCTTTACGCAGCTGAGTGAAGACAAAGCAATGACTAAGTACCAGTTGTCGGGGTCGCTGTCTTTGTCTGCCTCGTCGCACACAGCCAAGGCTTCTGAGTGAATGCCATGCCATGGCAGTTCGAACTGTGATGACTCGGTTTAGGGTTTAGGGAGTGATCACTCGCGTGGTGCTGTGCCGGATTCCTGAGTAATTACAGCGCCAGCTAGCTTGTGGAAACACCCCTAAAAAAGGGGCCTTAATAATCACCCATACTACTTTGGGGGGTTCCTTGTTACAATTTACAATACAACTATAGTATAACATACCCCAAAACTCTGCTCTAATTATGAAGGCCCCTACATTAAACCAGAAAGCTTCAACCCAAAGAAGTTGGCTCATCTTTCGACGAGTCGAAAGTTGCTCTTGAAGACGCCAGACCTGGGTCAGGAACTCGTTGATGGTTCTCGGACAGTTCATTTCCTAAGGGTCCAAAGGATCCAATAGTAAGGTACTTTGGTTGCGGATAGTAGTTTTCTAGGTTAATATTTGGGAAAGTATATGATAGTTGGGTCCAGTTGGGTTCTCGGACAGTTCATTTAGCTAGTGCACCACGACATGGAAATCAGATTTCCATACATATCTAAACCAACCGTACGCTGCTAAACCCTAAACCCTAAACCCTAGACCCTAGACCCTAAACCCCAAACCCAAACCCTAAACCCTAGACCCTAAACCCTAAACCCTAAACCCAAAACCCTAAGCCGATCAAGGAAAGCAGTGCCTTGACAGATTGCAGGTCAGGGTGCCCCCGTGTGCTCGGACTTGTGGTCTTTGCAAGTGGCTCCGAAGTTGGGTTGTAAGTTAGAGGACCCTAGGGACGGAATGAACCCTAAAAGGGTTTAAGGTTCATATACCATATAGGGATTCATAGTATGTGGGAATAAGGCCCCTACTTTTAAGGGTCATTTGGTCCTCAAGGGAGTCCAGTTGGGATGCGGTACTTGGACTCTTTTCTGACTTCGTAAGCCGCAAGCATTGTTAGTAAGATGGGTTATGGGCTAGGTGGATTGTTGTCAGTGATTGTAAGGGTTACACCTCTAGTCGCTTGCCCTGGACCCTAAACCCTATACCCTCTAAACCTGACTAGCACGTGCTGATGCAGGATCAACTTGGCAGGGACAAATGCCGGCACTCTCTACGGTCGAGGCACCCTCATTATCAGCTCTTTGCTCGTGGAAGAAGGGCTTTCGGTGTACAGTGTTTCAGAGCTCAAATCCCACAGCCCTATAAGCCCTAAACTTTCCTATTACCAAGGCTATGAGGATAATCCCTTTGGGTTTCTTTGTTAACACATACACCAATAAGCGATTCCTGGGCTAAGGTGTGTTGACGCCACACCTAAGCCCTAAACCGCCTTAAACCTGCAAAGCCAGAAAGGCTTGTAGACCGAAGGAGTGCGAGCCTGGTGGCATATATGTGTAGTTTTCTAAATTAGGGTCCCTTTTGCGGTCCTTTTTATAAGGGTGCCGTACTATATTGGGGACCCAAAAACGGACCCTATTCTAGAAAACTACCCATATTGTCGAACTCAGAAATGTAGGTAACTGAAGCCCCAGGTCCAAGTCCTGGGCTGGACATGCGATGTCACGTTTCATCCTAGAAGCCTTGCAAACCCGATGTCGTCCTACCCGGTGTGAGAATGCAGGCATCTACCTTGCGGAGAACGGAACCAAAAGCAGGGCGCCCAGTTGTCCTAACGGACACGTGTCGGACGGCTTGATGGTGTGTGAGTTCTTAGGAGCGTTATGACTAGTACAAAGTGGTTGGATATGAACACCCGGCATAGCTGTGATATTGAATTTTGTTAGGTGCATACATTAGGTGCATACAATACCACCACTGCTGCGGCTGCGACAGTCTTACAACCCTTATGCTATCACTAGTCACTAGTAGACGGAGTGGCAGCAGTCGCCGCAGCAGCAGCATCATGGCATCATCAGAATCAGCAGCGCGCGTTTTCGTCCTCGCTGTTGTTGTGGAGTAAGCTGCACACTGCGAATCCTGGTTCGTCATGGTGCCGAACCCAAGCAAGCTCAACGAGCTCAAACGCATCGCAAACTCCACCATTCCTGCCCTGCATTGAGCATGGGGTCTTTGGGTTCAGAGTTTGGGGTGTAGGGTTGTGTTTTTGAGTCCAGGTTTTTACAGGCAGACTGATCTGTCGTTGTCGCAACTATCATGACATTGTTATCATGATTGACTCTCCCAGCGACGAGGTGACGAGTATACCACGCCCATGTCTGACGGTGTGCGCCACCTGCTCGTATGCCGCGTGGTCCTTGGCAGAGTCTACTACACAGACACCAAGGACGTGGTTTAACAGAGGGGTCTCAACAAGTACCTAGCCTGTACTATTTTCAGGGTTCCTTATTGTGATTCTAGTATATTATACCCCCCAAAACCCTGCATTGAATTATTAAGGCCCCTACAGTAGTTCAGTTGAGCTACGATTCTTTGTGCGGCGAGTTGGTCTGCGAGGGCTTAGTTCAGTCACCTGTTAGGTTGGTTAGGGTTTAGGGTTTATAAGGCTTAGGGCTTTGGGCTTAGGGTTTGTTTGGTTGGGAGTCACCTGAGCTTTATATCCAGGTCTTGTTGTTTACTGCTTACCTCCTGCATCGCTACTTCGACTTGTGAAGGGCTTCAAGGCTGAAGACGCTTCGCGGTGGAAGTCGGAGGGCCGAAGGCTTTGGGGTGTTGTGGTTCAGGGCTTCGGGGCTTGAGGTTTCGGGTTCAGAAATTTACTGGAGGGTTGGGGATTACTTATGTGAAATGATGTTGTGTGATTGGTACTACTCGTTGAAATGATTGCTTTCATTTGTGTTTCTCGCAGTTTCCACTGGTTGAGATTGCTACCGCTGCTGCTGCTACGACTACTGATGCCTCCACCGCGAGGACGACGGCAACAACAACATCTACTGGTCATTCTGCCAGATCTGCTTCTACGTCTACTTAAGTCTACTCCTACTTCTACCATTGCTACTACGACGACGACGACGAGCTGCTGTTGCTACGACGACCGCTACTATGAAGACGACGACGACGACCTCCTACTACTACTACTACTACTACTACTACTACTTCTACTACTACTACTACTACTACTACTACTACTCACACTACTACTACTACTACTACTACTACTACTACTACTACTATAACGTCCGACCAGACGCAGTGACTCGCCACATAGATTTGTGTGATGTTCTTTCGAAATTCCTGCATGGACGCAAGCGAAGACACTGCAGCTAAATGCTTTTCGCGGAGCAGTGCGGTGGCCTTTCCATGAGCATCTGCCGAGTGTCTGTCGCAACTACACATACGCACACAGAAACCGCACTACCACCCGCAGCCAGCATCATCATCGTCATCCTCGTCGTCTTCGTAATCGTCGTGCTTGTTCTCTCCCTTCTTCCCATCTTATGACAAATCAGACATCTGCGCGGGTCGACGAGGCTACATGTTGTTTTCCTGACACAAAGCTCGCCATCAGACTCAGACCTTGCCTGCGATGTTGCTCTATCTATCTATCTATCTATCTATCCACCTATCTATCTATCAATCCTTCTGTCTATCTACCTAGCTATCCATCTATCCATCTGTATGATCATACATACATACATACATACATACATACATAAGTAGGCATACATGTATGACAACTCATGACGGAACAGGTCATGCATGGTTATCCCGCATCCTGCCAAAATGCGATGTCGACATTGCTGCGTTCGTCAACCATGATGTCGAAGGCCTCTGCACAGAGCGTCTTCTCGAGTCAGATGTTCGATTGCCACGCCGTGGGGGCGCTAATGCTGATCCGCCCTTCTCAATTTTTTTACACGTTGCCGAGTCACTCGGTCTGCCGAGCCACCAGTTTAAACCAAATTAAGCGGCACAACAAGCGAGTGCAGAAGAGTTGGCATGCATAGTTTTGCAAGCCTGGCCGGCTCCGACTCCAGACGGAAGCCACGCCTGCTGTCGGACCTGCGAGGGAGAATTTCAAGGTCTGGTGCTACATACAGGCAAAACACATTCCAGCCCCCACTCTGCAAGGCATAATTGTTTGCATGCATGTGATGCTTCCTCGTACCAATCGTGATGAACTCGGCATATCTCCACCTGCCCGAAGTATTCCTGGCAGGGTCTAGTGGCAAAGCTCCACTTCACCACAGCCTTTCAGCATGTCACATCACATGTCACGAGCCTTGACATCCTCGAAAGCCATCCAGAAGATGGACATCGGATCATCCATGAGGACGCCTTCAACATACGAAGCTGCGACCAGGATTTTCGCGTGGTGGGTTCTTACAGACCTTATATAATAGTACAACTCGATGCGCCGCTATTCAACCCTTCGCAGCTTGATCATCGTGCTTTTGTGGTTCGGCTCATTTCGGCTCTGATTGCTCTTCCTTTTTGAGCTCGTACTAAGGCCGAAGCCTGGACTCCTAGACTCACGAAGGCGCATGTACTTCCCACGGTTTGCCTGAGCTGTTGATGACACCTAGCTGCTTCTGGAGCTCGGGAGTCCATCCACTCCAGTCCTGCAAGGAATTTGCAGGGGCCATTACTGACGAGACCCTGCATAGCATCTCGACGGGCTGCACAGGACTTGGAGCATACGCAGCCCAGCCAACTCTCACGACATTGTCTGAAACACATACCGCGTAGCGGGGGAGTTCGTCCAGGATCGTCCAGGAAATATATGAGGCTTTGCGGCTCGCCCCACTACGTACATGTGATTGGCCGATGCAGGCAAAAACAGAGGCAACCGTTGACGCTCCTTGCCCCACTTCCCTTTCCAGGTGCGGGGCGCGTTTTGTCCCCATGGGTTCCTGATCCTGGGAAAAGCAAGAGCATGCAGTTCGGTCGCGGTGCGATGTGCGTCATCAGAACGAAAATCCAGACGGTCTCTCTTCGTCGTACTTTCGGATCGGGCTTGGGAGGTTCGGAGCCACAATTGGGTTCAGCTTTGATTTGGGCACAAGGCTGCATCGGAAGTGGGCTTTTCGGATGGATTGGCGCCCCCCTGTAGAAGGCCTCTTCTCATCCCCCCCGTCCAGGGGAACACACAGCACGGTAAACTCACGTTGCTCCCTGTATCTCCCTGTGCAACCAGTGCAGTAGGGTTCCAAACACACACAGCAAGGCTCGCTGCTCAAAATCCACAGGGAGTATGTACGTCAATGTATGTATCAATGCATACAATGCATGTAAGGATTTGACCATAAATATGAGCCTTGCGCAACGCAGTCTCAGGAAGGATGGACTTGTTTCTCTTGCCAACTTTCAAACCCCGGCTCCCTTCTGCCCTGTTTCACCCTGTAATTTGTGCATGCTAGGCTGCATGCGCTCCGGAATCAGTGCCTATAGCAAAACGAATGTATCTACGTATGTATGTAACGTACGTACGTACGTATGTATGTAGCGAAGGTAAGCAGGTAGGTAGGTAGGCAGGCAGGCAGGCAGGTCGTTAGGTCGGTGGGTCGATAGGTTCAGGTTGGTAGGTAGGTCGGTCGGGCCGGCAAGTAGACAGGCGGGCAGATGTAGGTAGGTACACATTTGTGCATGATTGTGCATGCATGCACGCATGCATGCAGGCAGGCAGGCAGGCACGTACATGCACCTACAATACATTGAAAGCACCGTGCCGTGGAAGGCTTATCAAAGCGGACCTAAGGCTTGGGTCTGGGCAGGTACAGGTCTTGCTAAAGACAGGCGCGGTTGGGGTCAGACTTCGGTCAGCAGAAGTTTTCACACGGCTTGGCTTTGGGCAGGTAAACGGCTCGCAAAGGCGGGCTCGGCGCAGGTACACAGGCTCAGGTATCGTAAAAGCGATGACAGGCTTGGCCGGCAGGTGCACGATTAGTTCCAGCGAGGACAAAGCTTGGCTTAGCAGTGAAGGCACGGCTTGGCCCCGAAACACTGCCCAAACCTTACTTCGAGGACTTCCGTGAGCGGGGCGGCCGGGCAGGCGGGTGCGGGGGCGGGCCGGGAGGTGGCGGCCTGGAGCCTTCCAACTGTGGACGGAGCCTGAACCCTACCCTCTGAGTCAATGATAAGCATACACTGCTACAGGGTTTCACTTGCACGCCTGTCTGTCTTGCTCTTGCTCCCTGCATGTGTCTCGGTCTCTCTTGTCTACACTTCTGACTCTGCATGGTGAGGCCGCAGCTTGACCAATCGGGCAGTCTCGCCATTAATGGTGACCTCACCAGGCGCTCCAGCGTGGACGCAAGTCCGACAGCCCAGGCTGGGCCTGGCCTCTGCGAAGTCCAAGATTCCGTACGCATGCGGCGCCTGGTTCACCGGCTTACCCATTTTTTGCTGATCGCGACATCACGCGACGTTTTCAGCCACACGAATTCAGCAGCAAGTGTCACAGCTTCGTTCGGCTGATTGTTGGAACGAGGGGTATATATAAGCAAAAAACGAAAGCAAATGACACGATGATCGGCATCATTGCTCAAATTGGAACCTGAACATAAAGCCCTGCCGGCACCATGCCTGGAGCCCCATCTCCTCAACGATGTGAGTCCTCGACTTCTCACAGCCTGCAGCCACTTTCACGAACCGGCGGTTGCTCAATTTGCTATGCCGCTTTCGTCAAGTTTAAACTTGAAGCACGCTCTGCTGTGAGGCATGCTGCGCGACAGTGATTTCTGTGATATCACTTTTGCATGGCTGCTGCAACTTCGCACGACTTGCTCTGTCAAGCCTACCAAAATGCTAGGCTAAGGCTGGAAGGCGCAGGGCCCGACAGTCAGGACTGGAGACGACTGCGCAGCTGACGCTAAAGCTAAAGAGCTTGTCCCAAAATGTCCCAAAATCGTCAGTCGACATGAATTGAGAGATCAGGGCTGCAGCCAGTGCGTAGCAGCGCAACGCTGGAAGTTGCCTTCCTGGCTGAAAGATCGGAGCCTTCTTCGGAGCAGCCGGCGCCCAGCAAGTAGCCAGCTTCCTTCACGAACACCGCCAACGTGCTTCTCTTGAAACTGCTTAAAACTGTCTGCATGTCCCGGAGGCACAAATCATGTCGCCGCACGGCCTCATGTTGCCCTAGGTTCACATGTCCAGCGTCTTAGGCGTGTTGGCAGCGAGCGTCCGAGCCTGGCAAGAAAGCAGTTTTGACCAGATGAGGTCATCATCCTCGTCATCGTCAGTGTCATCGCCTAGGAAGCTTGCGGGCAGTGCAGCGCTCGAATCTGTGGCGGCTGCAGGCTCTTCCTCATTCCGTTCATCTCTCAGCACCGGCTTAGCTGCGCGGCCCTCTGCCTTGAGTTTTGTTCGGCTGCTGCGCAAGGCCGCTAGTCGGCCGGAGTTATGACATTGCATTCGCAGAGCTTGGGAGCGTCGCAGACAGAGCAGAAGATTGCCTTTCTTTGGGCATCTCTGCATCGCTAAGCAAATGTTTGCAGTTTCTCTGCCTGTCTTTCAGGAGAAATGGAACCGTGGTACCACGTGTGAGAGACAAGCTCAAGTTCAAGGGCATACGCGTCATGCGATTCATCAGCCACTGGGCTAGCTGCCTCCTTGGTCAGCTGAAACGGGGGCGGCACTGAACGGAGTCAAGCTGGCCTTGTTCTGTCTCAGCCACATTGTTAGACCCTGCATCTGCGGGTGCAACTCCCTCGACTTTGCCGGGTTTCTGCGATGCATGCACGAATCATTGTAGTAACGGCAGTATTGGAAAGCATTAAACCAGTAGTCAGCTGCAAGGACACCGCTGCTCCTGAATTCGTCCTGGTCAACACACTTGAAACGAACCTCGGTCCCCAAAGAGGTTCGGAGGTGGTCTGCTATCTCAGGACCAGTCAGAAGCTCGCCACAAGCTGGAACATGGTGTCCGACAAGTTCAGGGTTTTGAAAGATGTGATATGCAACATTGCCTATGTCCGCTGCAGCGATCAGGGGCAGTGCCCTGGTCTTCATTGGAAGCATGAATGTTGCATCGCCAGAGCCGCCAGAGCACAGCTTGGGACCCATGGCAAACGTGATGAAATTCTCGAAATAGAATGCAGGCGTGAGGAATGTCGTCGGAATCTGAAGGCTCTGGAAAAAAGCATCGCCCCGGCCCTTGCCGTCGAAGAGCGGTACCTGAGCATCGTGGGCTGGAAAGCCTACCCAGACTAAGTCAACATGGCTGGACAAAGGCGCAGGAGACAGCTCGATGTTGCAGACCCAATTTCTACTGCCAAGTATCGCAGAACCTTGCTCCGACCAACCTACATATAATCGCATGCAGCATCGAGACTTTCGTGAGTACGGGCGGCAGTGTAATGAAATCAATGACATGGGTTCACATTGAGAAACTGAAGGGGCACACTCAAATACATCAACATCAACCAGGACCTCCTTTGATTTCTTGAGTGCAAGACAATATGGCTTGCAACAGGATATCTGGGTGTACACTGTCTACATCTCATTGGCATGGACGAACTGAGAATAGAGTTGCAGGTTTCACGCATCTGGGTGGGTCTGACTTGCAGACCACGACATGCACAACTCTTTCGCTTGAACAAGCTTTTCGCGAAATTTGTGCGTACTTTTCTTGCGACATGATCTAACACCCTTGCAGTCATCCGGATGATGCAGAGACAAGAGCTGCTGGGAAGGAGATTCGAACAGACATGTCCACCCCAAGCTGATGTGGCAAGACGCGCTTGTCATACCTTACCGCGGTCCCACACCCATAGGACAACTGACGTCACGCGGCCGTGATCCCAAATTGCAGTCTGCCGCTGCTATACGATTGAAATACTGATTGAAGGTCCACTTCAATTCAAGTAGTGCTCATGGCTTGAAGTTAGCTCTTGTCAAACTCTATCTTGAACTCAAACGGCAAGACCAGGGCAAGACGGAATGATGCTACAACCAGGATCAGTTCAGGCTCGAACTGTGATGAGCCAGACAATCAGAAACCAGGCAGAAACGCCAAAGCTAGGCATGATTTGCTTGGACAGAAGCTGAAATCATTCTGAATCCCTGGGAAAGGCCGGCTGCCACAGACTTCTTCTGGATCCGCGGTATGCGATGGTCATGCGGCGGCACGATGCCATTGGTGTCTTCCGCGGTGGACCAGATCACATGGCAAACCTAAGCAGCTTGAACAAGACTTTCAGCGTGCACCCTGTTCTGCTACAGGAACTTCGAATTAGTAGATTCCGAACCCACCTTTCACCGATTATCGAAGCGATAACTCGACAGCTGGCGAGTCCCATGGGAGCCCTCATCACGGCTTGCCTGTTTCAGCCTGCATGAACCACGGGGAACGAAAGCAAGTCGGGCCGTGTGCTATCGGAGTGCCTGTGTCTCGGCAGCAGCCTCTGCGTAGATCTTTGCATGGGCACATTCTTTCTCAGGAGAGAAATGGTCCCAGAAGAAAGTGATGCAAAAGGCGCCGTACGCTCCTTTCATTGCTTCCTTGACCTGTTCCTTGTCGTCAATGTTGCACTGCACAACTTCCGCGCCCATGTCAGCCAAAGCCAGGGATGCCTTGGAGAGCGCGTCTCTGGTGACGGCACGAACCGCAAAGGCCCTGCCAGGATCCTGCCTCAGGTTGCAGCACCTACTCGATCCTACCCGTGGCTTGCCGGAGTTCGCAAATCTCGGAACTACCAAAACTTCCAAGTCCACGTGGCAGGATCGCACGTACCAGGGCACCACCTTGTGCACCAGTTGCACCAAACACCGTGATGATCTTCAAGTTCCTTACTTGCACAGAACTCCTACTACGTTCGGTCCGTCGACAGAAGTGTGCCGCACCTCTCCGAGCATCTCAAAATCGGGTTCCGCTCAACGCAGCTGCAGATGGCAAGAACTTCCCAATGAAACAACTCCGAACACAAGTTCGTGGAGCTGGGATGGGGATATACTAAATCCTGAGCCCTTCACCCTTGGACCTGTCACCGGCCCCTGCTAAGTGCACTTGTGGCTTCCTTACCACCTGGGCCTAGGCTCCGCTGCAAAGCCTGGACATGGTCCGTCCCAGAGGAAAACCAGGCATGCAAAGGTCTTGCTGCAGCCACCAGCTCCTGTGTTCTTGAGATGCTGCGGATCTTGCAGGCTTCCTCGTTGCAGTCCTGGAAGTATTGAAACCTCACATGTAGGTGAGCGTCTTCTGTAAGTAAGCATGTCAGACCCCACCCATATATCCTCACGCATGAAACCCCCTAACTCTCCAGAGCCTGAACCCAAAATCCTAAGCCGTGAGCCAAGCAGACCGTCGTACAAGTTCTGGGCTGCTTTTCTGGATCCAGTCAGCCAAGTTGCATTAATCCTAGGGCCTCGGATCTCGGAGGATGCATTTTGCGGAAGTCGGCTGGAGGCAAATATCTGAAGGCCACCTCTTCTCCCAAGTGTTTGGTAAACACTCCTGCGATCTGCGATCCAGTGAGCAGATCTCCACACACAGGCACATATTTCCTGAGCATGTCCTTCCCTTTGCGAAAAATCTGTCGGGCACACTCAGCGACATCCTCTGCAGACACCAAGGGCACTGGCTGATCGCGGCTGATCGGCAGCTCCACGAAAAGTTGTCCGTTCGGCGCTCGGCGCGGTAGGAAGCCAAGGGCTTCAAAGTCCAAAAAACTTTCGTAGAAGAAAGACGTTATGAGAAAAGTTGTTGGAACTTCTGCTTCATTGAAGTAATGATCACTTCGGCCCCTGCCGTCGAATAGAGGCACTCTGCATCGTGACTTGTCCAGGGGCAAGGTTTCTGAGTCGTCCGGAATTATAGCACATGTGTCTTCCTCAAATGTCCGAAATTGTTGCGATGAGGTCGCAAAGAACAAACTTGAAAAGAACAACCCTCCAAGTTCAGGTGCAAGGCGCGAAAGTGGACCAAATGACATGCTCAAGCTTAGCTGCCTTCGCAGCAGCAGCAAATCTCTTTGCAGCCAGCTGGGTCCCACGTGCGGAATAGCTGAACGGATTCAATGTACAGTAAGCTCCATGTGCGCCTTCCTCAGCTCCACCGATCCACACTGCGAAGCATGTTAAGGACTGAGGTTTCAACCAACATTTCCACAGCTGAGTCACAAGGATTTCGGTAAGTCCCTTCACGTCATTCGTGTGCTCAAAGACCTCCATGGATCTGTGGGACAGAGATGCCATGTAAGACGGCGAGATCGCAAGACTCTGACTCAAGGGCCGAAGGGCATGGAGAACGAAAGCTCCTTTGCGTATTTATCCGGTAGATGTCGGCTCGGTAGATATGCAGGCTTTTATCCGCGCGGGTATGGTACTAGTCGTCGTCGTCGCAGTGGTAGCGGTGGCGGTAGGGGTAGCAGCGGCATTAGCAGTAGCAGTAGTAGTAGCAGGAAGCCCGAAACGAAATTTTCCAGTGGAGACCTCTTTTTGCGTTGCTTTGCTGCAGTCTGGCACGGCGGCCTGCTGGTTTTAACTGGGAGAGCATGTACGACGACACAACACGGACAAACGCAGCGCAAGCGCCGCCCTGGCGGCCCAACGACGACGTTTGCAAGACAGGGCCTGCGAACTGGTCCAGCCCCAGCTCACACCGGACCAGGTTGGCCGTCTGCAAGCAGCCTACAGTCACCTGGAAGGAGTCCTGTCACTCAATCTTCGAAGGAACGATATGGTCTGGATGTCCCATACAGACAAGTTGGACTACCCCTATAAGATTCTCGGGCAGCCACGCATTGGAAATCAGCAAAACACGTACTTGGCGTTCCTGATGCGTTTCCAGTGGCGATTTTTTGGCATTCCGATTTGGTGTTTTTGGTGTTGGGATTGTGATGGCACTTTTTTGGAGTAGCATGATCACCGGGTTGCACTCCAGCTTGAATGCGGGCACAGCCAGGAACCCAACGACAATTTGGACTCCAAATAAACGCCAAACCAAACACCAAAAATCGCCAAACCAAATGCCGACCAAAAGCCACATCCAGGCAGCGAACCTGGACCTCCGTATTGTTTGAACCGTTCAATTTAGCCCCACTCCCTCCCCAGCCCCCAACCCGAAGCCACCCCTCTTAATTGATACGATCAATAATACAATGGTTTCTGCCTTGGACTGCCTCCCTGCTCAAAGCAAGACTAAACTCAAGCCCTGCTACGCGAGCTTTGTTGACTTGTACGGAATAGGGGAAAGCTTCGTAACATCACCTAGTCTGCAGCTGACTGCGGACTGTGGCGGACAACTGCAAGTCTCAGGAACCTCTGCACCCAGCTTCTCCAGATGCTGAGCTGAAAAGGATGTCGCATCAGGCACCACAGCTCGGACGCGGGTGCGGTGTTGCAGAAGGCACCTTACCACCTGGGGGCTTGTTCGCGCTCCGCCGTTAACGACATTCAATTTCTTAGTACAAAGTTCCGATGCCAAGCTGCAGCATTGCCCTCTGTACCGGTGGCATCGAAGACCACAATGGGCGGTCCGCTGAAGACGCCACCCATGAGCTGGCCCTGCGGCCCCAAAGAGCCGCATCCGAAACGGCTCCGGAAGTTCTCAAAGCTCGAGCTGAGCTCGCTCAAAGACCGGTCCCTTGCCAACAGAACTGACTGACCCTCAAAGCCTCAAACTCTTCCAGCCAGCCTAGTCGGGTATGACAATGCTTGGCTCTCGGCTTTGGTCTCCCACATCTGCCCCACCCAGCAAGAGGCGCGTGCGCTGTTCCTGCCTGGCCTCACAGAGGTCAGCACTTTTTGTGCCCACGCTGAGCATGCGTAAGAAACCGTGACCTACAACAGTGGCTCTGCAATGTAAACACCGTTTCCAGCGTGGGGGCTAAGACACCCAGTGTACCCGTGTCCAAAACAAGATGCTGCAGTAGAGGCACTAAATTCTCACTAGAACTGATTTTCCGCATCTTCTGCTCATAAGGCAAAACTTCTGGTTGCTGGGGAATGTTGACACGCTGCAAGCCTCACCTCTTCCTTTATTTATGCTATGAGGATAAGGACCAGAGTAACAAAAACTCAGCACCTCGAATTTGCTGAGAACCTTTTTCATGGTACAGGCAGTCTCGAGATGTCTCGAGCAGCAAGCCGACCCTAGCCAGTCTTCCGCGTTATCTGCTGAGAACCACCGCAGAACCGTCTGCAACAATCACCACACGTCGAAGCATTGCACAGTGAATCGAAGGAGGCACCATTGAAGAAATCAGCGGCACTGCAATGAACATGAACATAAGGCATCATTCTGCCTTATGCATGAAGGGCATCAATGCAATGCGCCAGTAGAACATTGCAGAACTCTCTCTGCTACCACATGGCAAGTGTTCTCCACACTGAGCACGACAAACATGTTTGTCTTGTAACCCTGATCGCTGCCTGGCGCTTCTCCTCCTTCTCACGCCGCACCGCCGAAGGAACGTGAAGGCGAAGACGCTGAGGCACAGAGAGCGGACAGCAATTTGTGTGACGATACAGCACAGGCTGCCCATGTCTGCGAACGTCCTGTTGCTTACAGCTTTCCGCATGTACTCGTGCCCAGCATACGCGGCGTGAAAGGGATGCATGAGTTCCCGACGCAAACGAGTCTATGTTCAGTGTGATACATGCAAAATAACTGCTGCTGTGTTGCATTGTACTGTAGCAGCAGCATCCGTACCTAGCCCTACACCTCTGCCACACACGTTGGCAGGGCTTACAGTAATCCAGTGCAGGGTCAGCCCACCTGCGTTGGATACCCCGTGAAAAGCGCCAAAGCCTGAATTTCCACGAGGGAGCAAAGCACAGGGCTCAATCGATAACGGATAAACCAGGAACAGCGCGAGCATCCACGCGTCTAGGTACATTGCCACTGTGGTGTTGTGGTGCCCAATCCTGCTTGCCTCTGCGAAGGTGCCGCCTTTCAGTGCACCATAGCAGCCTCAATTGTAAACACCCAATCATCAAGAGTATCACAAAGAAGCGGCTGTGCAGAGGAAGCACGACCATGCCGGTCTCAACTTGGTCGATATGTATCATAAATATATATATATATATATATATATATGTGTGTGTGTGTGTGTGTGTACAAATGTATAACATATATATATATATACGTATGTATGTAGATGTGTATATATATATGTGTATTATATTACATTAGATGCTTTCGTTCCAGGCGCACAGAACTGTCAGGTTGCAGAGCCTCTGGATAAACTTCTGTGTGCAACGATTTCTTGCCTAACGTTTGTACATGAGTGTGATACCGTAGTCAAAAGTCTGTCTTCTGGATCAGCTCCTTGTGACGGCGGTATCTCGCAGTTGTTTTAGCGAATCTTGCTCGAAAATGTCAGGCAGCATCTGGCAATCATCAACCGTATGCCGTATGCATGCAATCGTTCTCGCCGGCTTAGGTAAGCATGTTGGTTGGTGACACAATATGCCACAGCTTTACTACGAGAGGATTTTGCACATAACCTAAGTCTGATGACAGCTCTGCACGGCCAGAAGTCATTGCCGATTCAAAAGAACAAGCAACACGTACCTAGCAGGATCTCTCTACTCGGAGATGCTACGCCGCTACGCACAACACCCTAGATCTTTCTGGGGTCTCGGAAGCTTGAGATTCCGGCCGAAGAGTTTGGCAGCTGCCTCGCAGACATTCATTCCCCCCTCTCGAGTGCCACAGCAGCAAAAAATTCTGGAGTTGATCCGCGAGGCCTTCTCCACCAAGGGCGGCCAGAGCTGGCGTCTGGCGCCCTGCGCTTGGCAGCGTCAGCTTCGGAGAATAGCTGGGCAAAGAAGTCATTATGACCAGGCCGCCCCACTTGCGAAGGCGAAAGGCGCAAAGGAAACCGGATGACTTTTTCTTCGTGCTTCTTGATGCATAGGCCATCGTTGCCTGTACAAGATTGCTACAGCCATGCAACTTCCGATTTTCTGGCAGACCTTGGGCGAGACAGGTGTGGGAAAAAATGCATTCCACTGGATCGTGCTTTACCGAGCCGCAGGCCAGCTTGTCTGTGCGAGGCTCTACGGCCAGTAGCTCCCAGCATAGCTGAAGCGTGCCCTGCGCACCTCACAAGAATGCTGCAGACAGTTTGATCCGAAGCAAGAATGCCACCACTTGTCGTCCATAGGTCACACCAGGTCCTGGAAATATCTCAACGTCAAAGCCCCGGAAGGTCGGACCCAGTGGGCTACGTGTACAGCTGCCTCCAGCGGAAGCTTGCGGAAGAAGTCGAGCAACCTCTCCAGCATCTTACAACACGACAGTGTGTCATGTCACCTTCGCCCCTGTGCGTCGTGGCATGGGACATACCGTGTTTCTTGTTCCGGCTTCCGTCAAACAACCCGGCAGATGGTTCCTCTTCCAATCCAACTCGCGATTTGTAGCTGAGGCAAGATGAGCTTCGAAATGTCTCTCAGGTGGGTTTCACAGGTTCATTGCTCACCGTCAAGAACTCTCCTGGCCGGATCTATCCTCCACCTTATCAGTTCTTGCGGGAGGTGAGTTATTCCGTGTTGTGTGACATGGCCGCGCAATTGCCGGGCTCTGAACGCTGTGGCACCGACTACGTCGTTAAGGCGTCAAAATCAACATGTTTGCTTGTCTGCCTGGGTATGCCCATCGATCTGTCTGAGTCTCTTTGTTTGAGTCGGTCCATGTCTACCAACTGCCTGGCCTGCGTGTATTTCCCGACGTTGAGGCTTAGCCGGCCGTTGGCTGCTTCATGTCACATGATTTTGGCCGCCGCGTCAGCGCAGTACCATGTAGGAACTACCCGTAGTACCCGTTTACAGAGTCGCTTCGGCCCCCGCTTCTGTCAAGCACCACGGCTTGTCCATATTTCTTCTGTGTAATATTGTATAACCATAGGTGGCATTCTTGCAAACTGACTTCCCTGTCCTGCCTCGTTTTGGCCCAACTGTGTTGTCTCTTTCTGGGGACGCCTCTCTTGACCGTTCTTGATGCATTCGCAGCTCTCCATGTGCGCAGGGTCCCGTAGGACCCGGCAATTCTTGATTGTCTCGCTCGTGTTTGCAAATCCGACGCCTGAACTCGACCTCAGCACATGCCATCTCGGGGCAACGCTGAGAACGTCTTCGTCTGGCTCTCACCCAAGAAACTGTGTATGATACACCAAACATCAGTTTTGCTGCGGCACGCCTGGCTTGGCGCAGGTATCCCCTCCCCAGAACCGAGGAGATCTAGCTCCTCAACACAAGCAGTGAGCCAAACCGGCTACTGTCTTCCTTTTCGCAATGCTTTTCGCCAGGGCTTGAAGCGCCAGGTCGACTGTGTTTCTATCTGCCTCTGTCGGTGTCTCTGTCTGCGTTGGAGCGTAAACCCATAAAGCTCCTCGCTCTCTCTCTCTCTCTCTCTCTCCCTCGCCGTGGAATCCAACGGTCTCGCTAAGCAGGGGTTCTGACTTGCGTTCCAGTGGCGGCTTCATGTCGGGCAGCGCCAAGCTGCCTATCATGCCCCAAAATTACCGAACACTTCCGTGTAGACTGCACAATGAATGCGCGGACTCTTGGCTACATCGACAGCATTGCAACACTTACTTCTTGGAGGCAACTCTGCACACCTGAGCTCATCTTCGTTTTAATCTTCCTTACCGAGAGCAACTACGAAGGTAGCATGCACGGGAAAATCTGACCTGCAGATAGTCCTCGGGCGGAGGTGAGCTATGTCGGGTGTCATCGCATAAACATCCGTGATGAGTAGTAGTTACATGTAATAATCGGGCCCAGTGCATGCATTGTAAACTGCAAGACACTCTGTCCGCCTTAACGCAGCTAAGCTGTGCCGGGCGCATAAGAATGGCTGCAAATTCAACGAATGGAGAAGCCTAGAAGCTGCAAAGCGATGGCTTTCAGGGCCAAGAGCAGCAAAGCAGGAAGTCTTTGTGGCTTCCACTTGATACTCTCGTTGCTGGGCCGAGGTCCTTGAGCTGATTGGCAGCCAGCTCATGGGAAAATAGGCTGCACTCCATGCTTCGCACTGGAATGCGGAAGATGGTATCTTGTTCGGCCCAGAGGCCTGCGACATCCTATAGGACCCGTCACACCAGCAACTTCCCCCACGACGCCATGCAGTCAGGCGACTAGCAGAGCAAATCAATCAACGGACGCAGTGTTACATGTAAGGAGTATGTCCGCAAAGATCCGGTAAGTTCACGGGATGCGCTTTTTGCTTGCAAGTACGCCTGGAGGCGGTCAAACACCACCATCGGAATACATCATCTGTGATTTCATTGCACAAAATTGCACGATCATACGCTAAAGCCTACAACATCCGAATCAGCTTTGGAAGGATTGCGGCGGGAGCCCGCCACCCGCTTTGGCGAAGCCGGGGCCTGAGCTCACGAGAGACTGGCACACGAAGAACTTGCAGACCGCCGACCTACGGTCATCCTACGGCCTACGGACCTCCTCTGACAACGATCTTCCCCTGCTGCTTCGCGGTTTTGGCACCGGTAGTACCTTTACAAAGCAATATCGTGGCAAATCTTGGGGGACGTTACACCCTGGCCTCGTCAGACAACGATTTGATAGTACCACGAGTCGTCTGCTTCGGTGGCGTCGGCTCCTTCCATGAAAGTATGGTCTGCGGCAGATCACCAAGAGAGTCAGAGGTATACCCTGCCATGCAGATGTCCTTGGTCGATGGCACCGAAACGGTCGACATCAATTGCGAGCGAGCTGTTAGCACCAGGCTTTGCTCACCAATCTGACAGGCAACTGCTTTTCAAAGCACCGCTTTTCGAGCATAAACCACACTCGATTACGTGCTTGACTGAATTCTTGCTGCCGGCCTCCGATCCGACTGCAGTGACAATTTGCTGTGTCATCCGCAAGTCATAGACCGACAGATTCCTCAGCGATGTTTCCCGAACCACCTTTTGTGGCATTGCAAGCTTTGAAAGAAAGCTGTTGGGACAAAGTGCCCTGCCAGAACCATTCGCTTCGCACCATGCCAGAAGCATTAAGTTAAAGTTTGAGGAGGACACGTGTCATCCTCTGCGAACTGCATAAGAAGCATCGGCTTCTACCAAGCTTGCAACAGTGTGCTGCCCAGTTGCGCAAGGACATGAGAGAGACCTGCCGTTCCAAGCTCCTCAATCTTGTTGCAAAGGACAAACAATTTCTCCGTCAGCTCCGTCGGATCCGGTACGCGTCCTCTGAGAGCTAAGGCAAACACAGAAAGGGAATCCCTAGGAGCAATTTCAAAACGGTCGCTCTAACGTTCATGCCAAAGCTCCCAAGGCCAAAAGGCAGGACTCTTGAGAGCCACCCATAGCATTCAGACCTCGCAGCAGTCAGCAGTGTCTGGCTCCCCGCGGCATGCCGAGATGCACCTACGTCTCGGCAATAGGAGCTTTACTGAAAGGAAGTGCGAGAGGAAACCACGCAACAATGAGCTGCCCCTGAAGTAAAGCTTCCAGATTTGCGGGTTATCACGCGCATATGTCTGTCTCTGAAGTCAAAGTCACCCATGTTGACTGCTCGTTGACTGCTCGGTCATACCAGGCTCACTGCCACCGCATAGTTTTCACGAAGTGAGACTTCGCATTGAAATACACTGGCAAGAAAACCGATAATTAACGAAGCGATTCAGGCAAGATGCGAATCAAAGCAGAAGCTGATATCCCCAACATGACCAGGACGATTCCGTTGAGCATGACCACTATGCCTATGACCGCGCTGGTTAACTGCTCCAACGTGTGCTCGGCAATCGCCGGGGCAAATGCTCCCAGAATTGCCATCATGAGGATAAGAGATGCACTGATGATCGCATCAAAGGCATTCAGCGCTGGAAGTTTCCAGGGCCAAGAGATGAGCTGCACAATCATGTACAGGAGCATTGTGGACACAATCAACAGCATCTGGATGTATGGACTGTCCCCGGCCAGGACGATAGCTAGAGACAAAAGCAAGCCACGGGGCAACCTTAGATCATTGCAGGGGCTCTCACCGCGGGCTTCAACCTGACCAATGCGCCACAAAAAAAGAAGCCAAGCGGCATGAAAGTGCCAAACCACCAGCAGTCAGCACGGAAGCGGAACAGCAAAAATCGGGTTGCTGAAAGGAACCTCAATGTCCGAGTTTCAAAGGCCTCCGAGGCCCCTGGCTTCAGCGGCATCCAGATTCAGATCCTTTTATATCCATGTGGGGCACAGTATGTGCCTGCGTGTTTCCCATTTACTGTGCTTATTGTGCCCACACTGCACGAGAACTACCTGGTCACACACGCAAGGGCGCCACGCGAAACACACATGCATCTGTTTGTCATGATTCATGCTCACGGCTTCCCAACTGTCCACAGCCGATGTGTGAATCAAGCAAAGCTGCCAGCCATTGCCGCCAGCGGCTTTCGAGGGTGCTTTGATGGTTGCCCAAATGGTCATGGCGTAGAACGACGTCATCATTGCAAGCACCAGCAGCCCTGTCACAAACCTGGGCCGAGAACTCTCTTAGCTTAAGCAGCTCTGCCTGACCTCAAGATGGTCCAGATACTCCAGCTTGCCACCAAGGCACATGGGCGTGTGCTCGGTGCTCGAGAAGCAAAAGATTCCATTGTGCTCGAGCATGCCAAGTTTGCCGTTTGGGTGCGAGTAGCACATCATGGGTGAAAGAGCGACTTTGCTGTAGATTGTGAAGCTGACCTGCATGAACTGGCCCATGGTGCTGATCAGCTTTGCGCTTTCGAAAGCAAACTTGCTCGGGAGGGCTCTGCTGAGTAAGCTGCTCAGGACAAGCCAGATAATTGCAGACGGCAGAGCCGCTGCGATCAGCACATAGCCAGTTACGGGGGAATGTGACACACAGTCAAAGCCCACAGCCTGCAAGTCGAGAGTGAAAATGCTGAGCAAGTCGAAAAGCCATTGCAATTGACGTGGCCACGAGAACGAGATGTAGCCAATGATGCCCACATTTTGCAACATGCTTATGGTCATGGCAAGCACGCAAGACGTTGCAAGGAGGGTCGTTGCCTTGGCAGTCTGCTTTGTGTTGAGGAAGTAGTAGCATGCCGGTATGCCAATCATAGCCAACACGGCTGCCACAAACCATCCAGCAATGCTGAGAGACGTGCAGTCCCTGCATTCGTCCGCCCCCCAGGCTTGCCCGGTGGGACAGTGCGTGCAAGGCACGCCAATCAAACCGCCTCTGCACTCTCCAGGATCACCGCCAGGACAGAAATCCGGAGGCAGGCACTTGTAGACATCGAAGGGCAAAGAAGGATCAGAGTAGTAGCCAGGCAGAAGCTGTGCACTTTGCTTGCCATCACACTCCAAACCCTCCTGACAATCAAGGCACTGACCAGCCTCATAGCGAGTGTTGCCTTGGCACTGGATACACCGACCCTCCCACAGTTCACCCGCACACTGACATGCCTCCACGTCAATAGCACCAGCGAAAGCGGTGCTTCGCCCGGCAGGACAGGCAGAGCACACCTCCAGCCCTTTCTCCGGGCCATACGTGCTCAAAGGGCATCGGGTGCAAGATGTGGAGGAGGTGTTGTCTGCATAAAACCCTCGACCGCACAGCTCACATGCATCCGCTCCCAGAACATTGCTGAAACTGCCCTTGTCGCAAGCATGGCAACTTGCCATACCACTCTCGTTTGCAGAAGTACCGACTCCACACGGAGCACAGGCTTCTGCACCCGCATAGGCATACTTGCCGGACTCGCATTCGATGCATCCTAGCTGTACCGAGAACACTGAGCCTGCCTGGCATTGACTAATCCGGTCTGACGGCACGAAAGCAACGCTCATGTCGCAAGACCCAGTCCTGCAAGGAACGATTTTGGTGCCGTCCGTTGGGCTCCAGCGGATATCTGCGAGCCATTGGATCCCATCGCTGGCGCGGTAAGCCAAATCTGAGAACTCATTGCCTGTACTTCCGGTGATTTGACGCAACAGGTTGACCCCGTCCCGGTCTCCGTAAGACGGTGGATCAGTCACTGGGTCCACTTCGTTGAACTGACGTACTCGACCTGTGACACCCATGTAGTCTTGCCGAAGGGACAAGTCGTACAAGGCTTGTCGAGATGACTCAGTTGCAAGGTCTGCTACAGAATGGTTCTCCACGGCGAGGTACTCATGCAAAATGGCAGCGAGGTGCCAGAGCCCATCGTAGAAGTAGCCAGTCCAAACGGTGTCACATGCACCTCGCCCATTGCCGAACTGTGCACACTGCACCAAATAGTCCTGCAAGTATCTACAAGTTTGGGATAGTTTGGGTCTGGGTGGTGCTCCACTGCTTCGGCTGCACGCTTCACACAAATCCATCAGTTCGCTTTGGCAACTCTTTGGCAACTCATGTTGACATCCCCCCCCTCCGCCGCTTCTGACAGCTACACCTCGGCTGTTCGCGTAACTGAGACTGATACTTTGCGGGCCTTCGCATGAAAATGGCGCACACACACACACACACGCGCGCGCGCGCGAGACCCCGTGCAATTGGCCCTTTCTGCATGGTGGATGGGTGTAGCTTCCGACAACGATTTCTTGAGTTTAAAAAGCCGAAGGGCTCAATTTCTTAATTTGGGGGGTTCCGCGGGGCGGCTACCGAATCAAGGATGTGAGGGGCTAAATAATGTTTGAAGTCTTTCATTCCCAAAAGGAGCTGTAGCTCACCCCTCGTATCGGCTCTTGGATCTTCAGCCGAGACGACACAAGTCGGGGAGTCGTTTGTAGTTTTATCCTTGCAGGACCAAAGCCTTATGCAGCCTTTGTCAAGCCTTTGAAAGCCTCTAGAGCCCTCCAAAACTGTTATTAGAGCCTTATTCAGAAGGCACACCCAGAACCTCCCAAATTAAGAAATTGAGCCCCTCAATGACAAAACATTTAAGAAATCGAGCCGGTGGTGTGCCCCTTGTAGGATTAAGCCTCTAGAACCCTCCAGAGCCACTATTAGGGCCTTAATGGGGCCCCGGGAACAGCTTCGCAGGGCACAAAAATAAGAAAGTGAGGGGCTCGATTTCTTTGATTTTAAGAAATTGCATGGCTCAATTTCGTAATTTGGTGGGCTCTGGTGAGGGCCGAACAATCGCCCTATGACAGTGAGAATGAGAGTATGCCTTGCAAGGAGGTTCAACGCTGGCATGCCTGAGTGGACAAGCACATGACTTACATTTGCCAATGCTGTGGGCTCGAATCCTCCGCTGTTGTCGAGCGTGCCTGATTTTTACGGATTTTGATTGGCTAATTTGAGAGCTCAATCAATTTCGTAAATTTGGGTTAAATGCAGGGTACCCTCAAATCCGGAAAGGAGTTGTCATAAGACAGGGTCCATATCACATAAGTGATGCAGGTACCGCTGCTCTCGCTGTTGGTACTACGACTGTTCTTGCTGCAACTGCTGCCACGATCACCATTATTGTGAATGCTACGTTGTCTCGCCCAAGGTCGATGAACCTAACGTTGCCATTCTCGGTGCTCTGCTTATGTATGATAACACTGCGTGATTGCCTGATCGTATGTGACTAGTATGGATGGATGGATTGACAGATGGATGGATGCGCGCATGTCTGCGCAAACATGTTTGCGATGGGTAGAAACTGTTAAACGCAGTCTATGTATGCACGACTTTGTTTCGCGTTTGTAGCCGGTCTTAAGTGGCAAATTGTGGATGTATGTGGTTTCACGGTAGTGGATGGTTCTGCGAAGCCGGAGTATAGCAAACTTGACAGAGCCATGCTCTCCCCACATGTCCGGGAAGCATGCGCTGTCTAGGGCCGCCTCCCAAGGCCAGCGTTTCCGTGAAATAGCTCGCACAGAGGCAGGCTTCTTCTTCGAGAGTTTGATGTTGTTTTCCAGGTACCCTAACTGCTCTGGCTCCCAGAACTGCCCTATTTTCTCTGAGGTCCTAGATCCTAGGTTGCTTAACAATGGCCTTCGGCACCCCTCATACGGCCAAGGGTTCGGTCAAGGCAGCCGCTTGGCTTCACCCTTCGCTCTGCCCTGTTCTCTGTGCGGTAGGTCCTCAGAGATGTCACGAAGCCGCCGTCCAGACAATCCATGGGGCAAAGGTGAGGATTGGATCGGAGAGCGGCCACTTATTATAAGTCCATATGCAACCCGGGAGAGCTCCTCCGCCGTGCATGGACACTCCTTGGTCTGGCAGTGTTCAAACATCTCACGGTTGTCTGTGGTCAGTCCGTGGTTTATTGGCATTCAACCAATTCAAGAGAGGTCGGCATCAGCTCCAAAAAACGCTGAACTTCGACTGGAAAGCCAAGACCGTAAACCTGCTACACAAACCAAGGCTCAGGCGTGCCTGCAAACACTGCAGTGACATCATTGACCCAGTTCCCAAATGCCGCAACAAACCACACATAATCCGGAGAGAGCATGAAACGCAGAGAGAACTGACAAAGAAGCCACATGCCGTAGTGCTCTGGCAAGACGATCAAGTTCACTCGCGAATCACGCACTAGGATTTCGTCCGCTGTGCTGACTGCATCAGGTACTGACTGGACATTCCTCGAGAGGAGAAGTGACCAGGGGTACGTGCCTGCGTTCCAATCTCGCTGCAAGAGCTCAAGGAAAAAGTCCTTTGCCCCTGCGGTGTATACGGGTCCATCAATGACGCCGACCCGCTGAAAGCCCAACAACTGCATAACTTCATAGATTGCCGTGACCTTGAAGCGATCAGACGGGGACATTCGAGTGAAGTAGGGGTAGCGCACGCGGTCGCTGAGGCCTGGTGAGTCGCAACCTGGTGATACAGTAAGCACGTTGAAGAGGCGAGCAGCATCGTTTACGGCATTGCATGACTGGCTGCACGAGTCGCCCAAGATGGCATGCTTCTGTGGCGCAGTTATCAAGGCTTCAATCGTTGCTCTCGTCCCATCTTGCTCTGTGCATTTGGAATCTGACAGGTAAATATTGAGCCGGTAGCCGGGCAGAAAGTCACTGTCCTCAATTTCCTGTGCAGCTGCCAACAGGAATGGCTCAGCCATGGTCATCATGTTTCCGATTGTCCCGCTGTACGGGCCGATGGCAACGACATTCACATCGACGGAAGCATTCCGGCTGGCATTGCCGATTACTGGTATCATGCATGCCCCACCGTTATAGAATCCTCAGTTGGCATCAACATAAGGATGCAGAGAATGTGGAATCATCGTCTCTGTCACCTCTCTGCGACCTACTTCGAGCATGTTCGAGCTGAGCATCTGCATGGCCACTCTGTCCCGTCATTGGCCAAACATCTCTCTGGGCACTGCGTGGACCCGCTTAGTGCCGGTAAGGCCAACCCGAGGATGATGGCACGGAGCATCCTGAGTGCAGAGATGTGCACAGCAACACCGTGCAGTGCTATGCCGTGTTGTGGCCTATCGAAAGAGAACCACTGAAAAGACACAAAGAAAACCAAGGCACACATTCGGCTTTCTCAAATATTTCAGGGAACCCGGAGTGTGGGCTCCACCCATCACCCTGAAGCGTCCTTTTCCTACACTGGAAAAGCGGCTGCAGAGCAAATCACGCAGGACATGCGTGCAAACTGCGGGTCGCTGGAGAGCAGCGCACAAACTGGCAGAAGCAACCAAGTGAATCTGCGCGCTGCGAGAAGTTCCCCCGAGCCTTTAACCCTGAGTGTCCGTCCCGCCTTCACACCTCCGCCCTGGAGATTCAGTGGGCACGGAGGACTCTTCATGTCGTCGGTGAACCACCTTTTGAAGAAAAGGCCGGTCCGTTAGTAGTAGCACACTTCTCTTCAGATACCGCGGTTCACTCCCAATCTCTCTACTTTGCAATGCATACATGGCCGACAGCTGCGTCAAAGAAGTGACGGTGTCTTCCGCCTTCGCGCGGCAGCCTTCGCAGAGGTCGAAATCGCAGGCCCCACAACCCCAAAGATGTTCGCCGGCCCGCACCTTTGTGCCCAGAACATGCAAATGCCAGATCTCAACGTCTCTATTTGGCCACTGCTGCATCCTAGCAGCCCTAGCACACTTTCTTTGCCAATTTGCTGTCTGGCAGCTTGGCGACCGCACGCATCACAAACGTAATGCTGGTGTGGTGTCGCATACCGCCGCAAAGGATGATCCTGACTCAGGGAACCCAGAAAAAGACAATGCCGAGCCCCCCAAAAGGGTCCACAGTTGCTCGTCCTGTGGGCAACGCAGCGCGGGACTATGGCCAGTGCGCCCCTCGCCAGGCGCACGGTGCTCTCGCAGATGCCTGCATGCTCGTGACGGGCCGCACATGCCCTCACTAGACAATGTAAGTTATTCAATTTCTATTGCTCTACTGTGCCATAACACATCGTCATTTCCGAACCTTTTGATATATTACGCTGCATATATTCCTAAGCTGGCCTAAGCTGGCCTAGCCTAACCTGGCCTTGGCCAAGTCAAGCCTAGCCTCGCTTGTAACATAAGAATAGAGAAGACGATAGACTAGAACAAACATAATCTATCAACAATCAAAGCGACCATCCGAGAAAATGACACCATGTCTATACACGCTTTCAAACTATGCTACACACTCTTACGGAGTAGCAGAGTGTTGAAAGTGAATAATTCCCTACTTCTGCTAGCGGGGTAAAGGTATATGTGCGCGCTAACCCCCCCCCCAATTCTCTGAAGGTGTGTCGCCGCTTTCGATTCTACGGTGGAGAAGTTCCGTGTGCGCAACATCAGCCATCTACCTTCGTAAACGCTGATAAAAGAAATATTCGTGTTCTTTTGAAAGCTCCTCACCTGTGCTCGTGATGATTTATCAAAGGGAAATCAGAAGGATCACAAGATCTTGTAGATTATGGAGCAAGGCGGTTCCATGAAAGAAGCTAGAAACAAAAGAAAACAAAAGACAATAGCCTGTAGAATACCTTCTAGAATATCCTTTCTACAAACCTGCAAGGAATTCATGCACATCACGGTCTTCTAGAATAACACCATATATACCTTGTACAAACCTTGTTGAATACCCTATAGCCTAGAGAACACATTTTAGAATACCTTCTAGAATAACACCCATATAAACCTTCTAGAATACACCATAATACCTTATAGAAATTTCGAAAAAATACAAGGAAATCAGGAGGAGCCCAAGATCTGAGTGTCCCCCAGTTGATTTGTAGTTTACTGGCAAGGGATTTAGATGAAGGAAATGCGGGTTCTAGGATCTAGGAACTCCTTGAACACAAATCGGAGCTTGTTTAGTAAGGGATAACATCTCCATATACATACCCTATAGAATACCTTCTACAATGCCTTGTGGAATAACCTATAGAATACCTTTTAGACTACCTTATAGAATGCTTTACACAATTCCCCCGATATAGCCTGCATATACCTTATAGAATACCATCTACTTGTAGAAACACCTTATAGGAGACAGCCTTTACCCCATGTATACCTTATATATGTCATATAGAAAGCCTATAAAATACCCTATGGGATACCCGCTAGAATCCCCTACAGATACCTTGTAGATTACACTGAAGATGCGGATTTTTTTAATAACGAAAACCATTCGGAGCCCAAGATCTGAGAAGCCACCGGTTGAATTGTAGCTTATTGGGTAAGGGATTCCTACGAAAAAAATCAGAACCAAGAAGCATAGCCGTATAAATACCTTACAGTATGCCCCCTCTATGTATACCTTGAATGATTTACAGCAATCTCATATAACATACCCAAAATCTATGAAATTTCAGCTTCCGTGCACAATACCTTGTAGCCTGTAGAACAGCATACTTTGTAGCATACCTTGAGCACCTCTTGTACAATGCCGTATGGAGTACCCTATAGAATACCTCAATTAAAGAATGCACGATCAAATACCAGCTGGAATACCCTGTAGTAGGATACCTTGCAGAAGACCGCCTATGTAATTTACCCTCTACTGTACACCCTAACTATACCAAAACATGCTTTGTACACTATCCTCTAGAATACAGATTAAGATACCCCTAAGGCCCTCAGAATAGCCTATAGAATACACTATCGCATACCCTATAGATAACGATTTAAATAAGGAAAACAGGGAGGAGACCAAAACCTGAGAATTCACAATCTTGATTGTAGCTTATTGAATAAGGGATTTCAAAGAAAGACACCGTGAATTTTGGAGCATTGCCTATAGAATACCTTAGAGAATACCCTTTCTATAAACCTTTTTTTTAGCACTCACACTCGACAAAGCAGGCGAGGCTTCAGTACACAATGCGGTCACCATCCAAAGCTCATTGGCTCTATCACTCAGAAACCTTCCAAAGCACATTGGCCTCGAAACCCAGCCCTATGCCAAGGCACAGGGACAGTCACAGGCATTCAGTATAACATACAAGTAATATCTTATAGAATACGTACCCCCTATGTACCGTGTATTCCATATTGAATACCCTGTAGCCTATCTGATACGACACATCTTAAATACCCAAAGAAAACCTTTCAATATGTACACCTATAGAATACCGTGTACAATGTTTGCAATACCCTATGGAATTCCCGATAGAATGCGCGATAGATTTTGTTAAGAACGGATCCTATATATCTTGTATAGAATACCCTCTAAGATACTTTATAGGATGCGCCATGCGGAACTCGGCAGCATACAGGAGACAGGAAACCAAAACAAAACATAAAAAAAACGTACCCTATGGAACAGATAGGGCTGGATTTGTGTCTGAGCTTTTTGCTTTTTGGTTTTAATTTTGGTTGTTTAGTTTGTTTGTTTTTTGGTGTTTTTAATTTTTTTGTCTTTTGATATTGGTTATTTCGGGTATTAATCTCTTTCCCCATTGCTACGTGTCATGCGCTCCTAGTATATCTACTGTCTCTTAATCTGCTGTCTCTTAAGCTATTATACTATATCATCAGTTGATAACCTTGCGGCCACATATCTGCTTATCTAGGGTCACTACAATAACTAGATTGGAAATGTATAGAAGTGTGGGTCAATAGGGGGGTTACCATGTGTGTGTGTGTGTATCTGTATCTGTATCTGTTGAAATCTGTAATGTATATATTTATATGTATATGTATTTGTATACATACGTAGGTTCATAGTACAACATCTGTATGTGGAGTGTTTGTTCTATAGAGAGACACTATAAAACACTTGCATCAACTCACATAATTCTATGTATGTATGTATGTATGTATGTATGTATGTATGTATGTATGCATACCGTGCATATACATTAGTCTTTATACATACATACATACATACATACATACATACATACATACATACCTACGTACATAC